TTTGGTTCCACAAAGAACCATTCAGTCAAAGGTTCTTTAAAGAACCATCTCTTTCTTACCTTTTTGTAATCTGAAGAACCTTATTTCGCCACAAAGAACCTTTTGTGAAACAGAAAGGTTCTTCAGATGTTAAAGGTTCTTTATGGAACCATTTAGACAAAAAGGTTCTTCTATGGCATCGTGAAGCACCTTTATTTTTAAGAGTGTAGTGGTATTTGGTTCCAGAATGAATCAGTGGTTCTTCTATGTTGTTCAAGTTGTTCAAGTGAATGCCACCTTGTCGCCATCTACTGGCGTAACGAGGAAGTCTTCTGAAGAGTTTAGTAACACTTTAGCATGCATCAAATATCCATGAGTCTTTAAAAAGCTTTAAAATATAATTATTGTTAGTCTATTTTGCTTGTTACAACACCTTAGATCTAACTCTAATTTTTATATGCATTTTAATTATAGCTCATAATACATCTCGTTCCACAAAGGTATTAGAAACACTTTCCACAACATTGGTAACCACAGGTAAGACAAGTAGCCTACCTATTGTATATAATGTATGTGCATGTGTCTGATCAAAATAACCTAATCAAATGGATAGATTTTGAATATGCTTTTCTTTAATTGATCACATATGTTGTTTCAGCCTCTGCTGACAGTCTTGCTGGCCTGGCTGAAAATAACAGTGATGGGAGTGAAACAGTGACAACTAATCTGACAGTAGTAGTGATGGTGACCACAGTAGTGTCTCTGTGTGTCCTCATATCACTAACCATCTGCGTCATTCTTTATTTCAAAAAACAAAGGCGCAAAACCAACAGCCAAAGTAAGTCCACAACTGTAGCCCTTATGCACAATCAGCTTGTAACACTCCAAAGAGAAAGGAAAACTTGAAATCGCATCATATGACCCCTTTCTTAACACTATTGGGTTGTCACTGTCAGAGCAACGGCTTATTGGAAGCAAGAGAGGAAGTGATGACTGTTGTCTCATCAGAACATAGTTTATATGTGTATATTGCACTTCCTGTTATATATTTATTATTGACTCAGTTACTCAAATGGAAACCGGAATCAGCTAAACTGCAGGCCCTCTATCATTTGCTCGTTTTAAAGATGTTTCCTTCAAATGAGTGAAGTTGATGAGAGTAGATCCTTGTGCAATTTAAAGATGTGCCATTAATATGTCAGTAAGGGAAAATTAAATTCAAAATTTATTAAGGATTCATGTCAGAAAGAAACGTTTAAACAATTTAACTTTTATGCATGATGGTAAAGTCTCTTCTTATCTCTTATAGCACAGTTAAACAGTCGGTTCTCTGTGTATTACTCCCGTGTTGCAGAAGGTAAGTGACATTCATGTTAAATGCTTAGATGTAAAATAAATAAATAAAATAAAATAAAATAATGACAATGACAGTCTTTTTTTTCTTTCTTTCTTTTTTTTGGACAGGGTTTGATGTCCCATTGTATTCTTTAGTTGAACAAAACACAGGAACAATGATCACCTGTAAGTTACTGCAAAGTATTATTTGTATACACAGGCTACACTGAAAATATAACCTATTTGAATTGATGAAATTAAACATCAGTTTGTTTAAACAATGTACACAGAATTTGCCAATGTAAACATGATTCAAACAATACATGAACTGATCTCATTACTCTTTAATAATGCCAGGTGGTGTCAAAATGAATTTTTGAACTTTATCTCCCAACAGTTGGTGCTGCACAATCAGAAGCTCCGGCATGTAAAGCAGATAACATGTATGAAAAGTTAACATTGTGAAATGAATAATGGCGTTTTTAATGTTTTTTGACATCAAAGTCTTTGAGTAATCGCTCATTATATGGCATTTGTCACAAATTATAATAAAGGATAACATCTTTTATACACAAATAGTTCTGGGTGACACTTGCTGAGGCTCCTTGTAATGCTGTTTTCATTGTTTTTTAATCCTGTAATGTGAAACTATGTTGTCATGAGCTTTAAAATCTTTAGTTTTTTCAAACTCAACTTAAAGACAGTCAAAACAACTGTAAGCCTTTTTTATCATAGCAGACAGGCTGTGGCCGATTTGTTTTGTGAGGCAAAGTCATATCATGACAGACTGATGATCTGATAACTGATCTGATGCAAGAATTAAAAAGTCAGAGATATAAATAGACATTTAGATGATAGATTCCTGTTTCATCATAGCAGTGGGTTTATGTGTTATGGGTTTAAAATATAAAGTGTGAGCAGTCATCAGATAAAGTAATCACATTTATGAATAGAGAATTAACAATGCGCAGGGGTTGGGTTAATTTCTTGTGAAAAGCTTCTTGTGTTATCCATTAATGTCACTGTTCCTAAGAACACTGGACAGATTTCCTCATACTCAAGTAAAAACATCGTTTGGTGCGCTACCAGGAAAACAGATTATAGCCTGCCTTATATACAGCATACAAGAGCACTCCATTAAAAGTTTAACCTTTTTGTGCTTTACAAAAAGGAGTCAAAATCCACACCCTATAGACACACACAGAGTATAGTATCACTGATTCGTGCCAATCTGTGGAAAATTATTGCTTAATATCAACTGTCGCACTATTGTTATTTACATATCACTGAAACTATCTTTAAAAGGAAGGGCCGGGTTTGTCAGAGTGTAATGCCTCTGGCAAATTTTCAAGAATGACTTTTTTTTTTTTTTGTATTTATCACTTAACAAATTAAACAATCTAAATGTAAATACAATTTAAAGCCAGCTGAAGCCATTGCCGCATTTAGACACAATACTGACACAACTTGCTATAAACAGTTCTGTTACTTTTATATTACTCAGAGAGTCTTATGGGCCATGGGTGCCTTTTTCAAATATAATTACACCTTAAGAGATGTAAGCAGGTAGACAGTTTTTACAGTTCAGTTTGACATTATTACAAGTCTTGAGCTCGAAGGTTTTGAAACTACAAGGTGCTTATAATTTGATGCTGATATGTCTGTAAATATCTACTTTTAATAGGTATTAGTTTACTACAAAATCAAGGTAACAGTGATGCCATTTTAAAATCATCCTCTAAAAAACAAGTGATTAAGTATGTCCTTGAAAACTTTACTCTTTGAAAGAATGACAAAGTGACATTGATTTATGAAGTTTTATTGATTTATAGAATAGTTCAACTCAACTCAACTCAACTCACTTTTATTGTCACTGCAGCATTTACAAGTAAATGATGTGTGAAAAGCTTAGGTGCGTGTTCCAGACATTGCACATATGAGAACAATACAATTAACAATTCATTGTCGTTAAAAGAGAAAACCTGACAACAGGGGTGTGATGCATTGTTATATACACAGTCATATGAGAGACACAAACGGCAAATGTTACTTGGATTTTCTTTTATTTACTATTATGTTTATCTTATTTTATTTTTTGCAATATACAATTTAACAGAATTTATGCAATTTAACAACTAAACATACTAGAAGAATGACAAAGACATGTAAAGGTATGGATATAAATGGAAACATTTAGGTTTTTTTATCAGTATTATCTGGTCTTCCAGCGTATTACTAAATATATTCCCTCTATAATATTTCTTTTGTTGCATATCTATGACTGTCCTTTAAAACTGCTCATCAAATTCCAGCTCTCTTCTAGTTTTATTCCAGTTGTGTCTGGTCTGGACCACAAACTTGTTAAATATGTACTTTCAGTGTTCGTCCAATAATTACAGTGTGAAACATCAAATTATAGGACTTTGAGATGGGATTCAGGTGAATGTTGACTATTACTCACATAGGAGTCTGATTACATCACTTGAGTCAGATTTCTTCCCTCTATTTTTATTTATAAGTTAAAATTATATTTATTAATTGATTTAGTATAGTTGGATATTATGTAGTAAGTTCAGATCTATATGGAGACACTAATATTTATTTTCTTTACATTTTATTTTATTGTATAAGAATAATTATTATAATAATAGTAATTTTTGTGATTATAACGAAAATGTTACTACTACTTGTTACCTTTACAGTAATATTCAATTGTGAAAATGATTAGCGTTTATGCAGTCACATTTCTTAAGTCCTTTATGTGTGTGTGTGTGTATATATATATATATATATATAATTTCTTATTTTTTTTTGCTTTTAATGCGTCTGCTGACTTAACGTATGTTTTCAGGCTTTCACTCTGAAGAAACTGACTAACTTTGAAGATATTTTTCTATCACATCGCATTGCTTAATTTTCCGTAACCTCGGGATAGTGGAATGAGATCGTGTCGCTCAGGTGAAACACGCCACATGACTGTTCCCGCGGGCTGAGGCGAAACAAACGGAGAGAGATGCCGAAGCAATGAGGTCACACGACAGATTTCACTCTGACTTGTTGTAACGACCCGTGAAACCTGCGAGGAGGAGGAGGAGGAGAGTGTCTGGCAGAACCGTTCAGCTCGCGGTGAGAGCTGCACCGAGGCTATTTATTATTCAGCGTGACTGACGATATCAGAACACAACAAAACACAACTGCGACGAGTTCGCGCGCGCAGTGGGATATTCAACTTCTGCTCTTATTTAACTTTATTTACTGAAATACTATTGTCTTTTGAGTTTAGATACATTAAGCTAACAAATGAATCGAATGGGGAGTATGTGCACATTTGATGAAATCAGATGGGATGACAGAATGGTATGTACCCATTTTTTCACTACTTATTGTTTAATATCTCTAGAAAAACAACACATGCATGTTTTTTCTTTTTTTAATTTATCTGCATAGTTTTGCACAGGTGTTGATATCTGAATCAAATATGCACATAAAATGTTTGTGAATATGTTATAGCCTATGAATATGAATAAGCACTAGTGAAACTGATTAAAATATCATTAAAATATTTAGTTTTAAGGTAAAATGTTAACAAATGTTGCCAAAGGTTTCTGGGTCGTTTTCTCATCATAGTCATAAAAGAGAACTTTGATCCTCTGTAACGTATCTTCCTGGTAAAATGTTAAACGCTCTACGTGTTGCCGATTGGGAGCTTCTCACTATTTGATTGGTCCAGTGCTTCATTCATTCAATTATATCGTCAAAATGAAATTTGTAAAACCAAATTATCTCAGTTTAAATGTGACACTTTATTAACACTTTATTAGCAGTATTTACTGTGGCAAGCTGCACTAAACCTCCTTTACCACCCTTTGCCCTTCTCTGTATGCACAACAGATACTTAATCTGGTTTAATGTCACTTACTTGAAATTTGGTTTCCCTAATAACCTGTAAGAGGCATTTGTGCCAGCACAGGGGATAGTTAAGCCAAATACCAGCTGTGTCCGTGTCTGTTCAATCAGCACTGTATATAAAAAGTGTTATGCCGAGTTAGATGATTATTAACCTGAGCTTTCCATCCAGGTTGCTGGGCACTGGCAGCCTTGTGCCCTTACTGTTTTATACCCTCAAAGAATATATGTCAAGCTTTCTGCATGCAAAGTGGGCAAGAAGGTATAGGAAGTGAGACAAGTCTCAAGTATTTGCTTGATTGTGGAAGGTTTCTTTCCTTCTTTAACATGATGGCCATTCAGACTGATTCAAAAGTCTGACTTGATAATGCACCATATTGTAGCCTGTTTTTCAGCAGCTACTGTTTTTGCATGTTTTTCATTTGCAAATATGAAAACAGGACATAATTTAACAGGAAGCTCTTTAATGGACTTAGGTTAAAGAGCATTTAAGATGCATTCTTTAGAGAGTCATGCACTTACAGATTTACCTCTGAAAGGACTTTTAATGATTTCAAGCAGTTCTAGTAGATGAAGGTGAAAAGAAAAAAAGTTGACACTTTTTCACTTTTATACTTTTAAATTGGTTTGGAGAAGAAAAAGCAAAAAAGCTCCCCCTTTTTCGTGTGGAGTTAAAGCCAACAAAAGCAAGTTTAGTTGGATGACCTCAGGTTATGTAAGGCGTTTCCACCTTTTTAAAACTATTTTTTTTTAAACCGTTGTTCAACCAGCTGTGTCTGTATATTTACTTTCACTCTCCTCCATATACTCCATTTATTTTGCTCATTTACCACTCCCTTGTTCAATACCTTGTATTTACTCACTCTTTATGTGGCTTCTGTGAAAGTACAAGTTTTGTCTCTCTCATCAAGTTCTGTGTGTCTATTCCTGGGGTGATATACAGTATTTACAATACAGTAGTAACAAATATATACACTATGTGAAAGCTTGGCTTGGTTGTGTTGCCTTGAGGTGACAGAGTTCCACAGAATACTATGGTGAAATTGACTTGTGATTTGTCGTGTCACGACAACGCTGGAAGCACTTTTAAGTACACTAATGATTATTAAGACATAAACTCATTTGTTTGTTACTAATTTCATCTTTTTTTATTACCTAGCCTATTTATTTATTTACATTTTTATTATTTATTTATTTAAAGCCCCCTCAAGGAAAATGTGATTTTTTTTCTGGTCTCAAAAGATTCAAAAATATAAAACATTTAATTGAATATTGACAGGAAAACATAAAGCTTTCACTCCGAAGTGTGGCATAAAAGGCCCCTTAATGTGGAACAGAAAGGCCCAAGGGGTATGGCAACCATATGCAGATACTTTTGATAAAGCAAAACATTTATGAACAACATTTAGGTACATATGTCCATTAAAAAAAAACTTCAGCAAATTAATTAATTAATGAATATAATGATAGAATTCATTGAATATTGATATAACATAAAACTTCCACCCTCAATTGTGGGATCAAAAATTTTATTTATTTATCTATCCACTCATTCATTCAGTGACGTTTGGCATTTCATAACCTATTAATATATATTAAAAAAATCCCAATTCTTTCTATTCTAATATGATTAATGGTGCCATTATTAATGTTTCAGTTCACTCAGATTCAGTATTGTCTATATACAGTCTCAGGTTACCAGCAGCTATTCAGATTTCTCACGTGACCTTTACATCTTACCATGGAAAAAACGCTTGTGTGATTAGCCGAGTCTTTTGTCTGTCTCTTTGAGAGGTCCAGAGGTCTGTATCCAATGACACATTCCACTCAAGGCTCTCAAACAATCCCCCCTCTCTTTTTCACCCATCCCTTTCTCTATGTCCTGTCTCTCTCCTGAAGCTCTTCTCTTTCTGTCTCTCTGCTTTGTACCTCACACCTGCATTCAGGTTTCACTCTGACCTGGTTTGATTTCCAGTGAACAATCGCCATTGCACTCCATCTCTCTCCATCTGTTATTAAGCGTCTGTTTGTTTTCTTAATACCCTGGTGCCAACGCCTCTCTGCTTTTTCTATTTCCGTGGTACACAAAATATGCAAATCTCACAGAGCTCTTATATAATGTCTAAGTAATGATCATTCCCATCAGCCAGAGACTTTGCATGTTTATATGCGTCCATTTAAAAGAGCGATGGCGTGTTATCTGAGAGTTTTGGTATGTAACGCTCTGTTGTAATGAATAGCCTGTTGTTCTGATGCCCCGAGCAGAATCCTCACAAACTTCTTTCGAAATAGATTTTTTAATCCTCTCCCATTACAGGCATGAACATTGTTTTGTGCTGGGTGCGTGTCATTTTGCAGGTGTGTGTCGTGTGTCTTTGTTGTTTTCTTGGGTTGAGGTGTGGTGTTGAACTTGGCTCTCGACTCTCTAGTCTAAATGCTGCTTTGCCTTCTATGGAAACACCCGATGCGCACACAGTCACAGGACGTCCCTGTGGTAGTACCTGTAGATTTACTCAGGTAAATATATTAAGTCATAATTTATTTACTTTGAATTTGTCCTAAATTTGTCATTTTTTGATACTGACAGTTCAGATAACACAACATCGTATTTTTTAATGGACTGAAAGTCTAGTCTGTCCATCTTCTTGATGCAGTGTCATTGTTTTGTCTCATTTATGGGATTACGATAAATGTGTTGTTTTGACCAGGTGGGTTGAGGTGTGGCTGCGTTTTGTCTAGTGATTTAGTAAGTGGTACAATAATAATAGATCTTTCCTTACTTGGACAGCTTGCGTTTACAAACTTGCATCAGACTTATGATGTAATCTGTCTTTGTGACATGTAATACAGTGGTGTCTAACTTCTAGCTTTACATGGAATGTTCTTGACGAAACATGAACATTACAGAGTGTTCTGCGGTAGTCTGGTGAACTGTATAGCATCATGCTATTGTTAGTTTGTTATATACTGTAGCTGTCTAAAGGTCTTTCACATACAGTAAGTCCCTAAACTCTCAAAAATAAAGGTACAAAAGCCGTCTCTGGGGCAGTACCTTTTTAAAAGGTACTAATATGTAACATTTAGGTAATTATATGTGCACTTTAGGCGCTAATATGTACATTTGATGTACTTATACGCACAATGAGAGGTAAATAAGGTACAAAGGTGTAGCTTTTAAAAAGGTACTACCCCAGTAACAGATTTTGTACCTTTTTTCTGAGAGTGTATGTACTTTATAGCATCTTACTGTGATAAAACATCAAATATCATTCTGCAACCATGCAGACGTCCTGTTCCTTTGAGATGGCTGGCTATAAACTAGACCTCATATGTTCAGTCTCAGTTTAGAGTTTGATAAAGCTGTAGCCTCCTTCAGTGTCAAACACTGATTTGGATCAGTGCTCTATCACTGACAGAGCTATTTCACATACTTGCGTCAGTGCCCGATCAAAGTAAATCTCACAGTTCTGACATTTTTCTCGCAATTCTGGAAAAGGTCAAAACTGTGAGATAAAAAGTCACTAATACCTTTTATAATTGTTTAATTCCGTGGTGAGAACAGGCTTTGATACAAAAGATTTCAAAGTGCATCATGTATATTCAAAAACAGTCGTGGCCAAAAGTATTGGCAGTGACATACATTTTGTGTTTTGCTTAAGCTGTTGTGGTGTTCATTCACATTGTTTCTAGATTATGTCACTGCCAAAACTTGTAGAAACAATGTGAATGAACACCACCACAGCTTAAGTAGCAAATTTGGCAAAACACAAAATTTATGTCACTGCCAAAACTTGTAGAAACAATGTGAATGAACACCATCACAGCTTAAGTAGCAAATTTGGCAAAACACAAAATTTATGTCACTGCCAATACTTTTGGCCACGACTGTACATTTTTATAGATTTAAACTCAGAATTGCGAGACATAAACACACAATTATGAGATATAAACTCACAATTGTATTACCTCCAGACCAATAAAACAACTTTTAAATAAAGATCTTGAGAATATTGTTAAATATTATTACATATAATTTAGCTAAAGTACTAAAAATAATGCATGACATATTATGTCTTCTCTATATTATTATTATTATTATACAGCGATTTATTTTATAGTATGAAAGCAAATAAATTTTTCGCACATGCCACAGATGCTGCATTGTTTGTCAATAGAAGTATACTTGATTATTTGATCACATAATGTTATATAATGTAATTTGCACTTCAATAGTATTATCCTTTTATTGTATCTCATATTCTGTCTTATTATTACTTATTATATGATCACAGGGATGATATAGTAGTGGGTAATAATAATAATTTGCAGTATTTTTATGAACTCACTGCAACTTCTCTATTTGTACATGATGTCAGTTTCACTGTAACAGTCATCTCCCATTATACCCCATTATCACTGTACACGTCACCTCTTTTTATATTCCTTATTAATTGCACTAAACCGATGTCTTGGCTTCTATACCCACATTATTTGCACCCTAATATTACTAAGATAATAACTGCACTAATGACAGTAATTATGAATCACATGTAATCTAATACAGTGTGACTGGAATATGTCTCATGTGAATGTGTAATGTCCTCTGTCACCTTGGCTCTGACTTTTTAGACTCTTGATCTTCACCCTAGTAATGACCAGGTCAAGCATTTTCACAGTCGGTCTGGACCTGTCTCACACATATTTAATAAACATGTCACAGTTTGTGCACGCTGTCTGCCACACGCTCACTTTCAGGACCACCCGTCCCACTGTGACTCACACAGACTACTTTTAGAGCCAGCAGAATGTTCTGGATATAAGCATGGAGACGCACACACACACACATTTATCCAGCCATCTGTGGTTGGTTTAATTTGTCCAATCTTCACTGTTTTACATATTTCACGAGATTATGTTCTTGAATACCATTTACAGCTATTCTGTTAGGTTCATTTCAGTTTCTCTTAATTTGGTCATGTGGATGTTATCTTATGTTGTGCAAGAGTGTTTCCTCATTTGTTTGTGTCATTGGCAAAGCTTTATAGTCTGTGCTTTGTCTCTTCCTGTGTCCAGCAGACGTAGTTTATGTTGTTGATGGGTGTCCCAGTTGCTATGGTGATATTCCGTTCTGCACTGGAGAGCATTGTTCCGTTTAGATTTGTGGCATCCCGCCTCCATCTTTGTAACGATTTAAATTTACATTCAAATACAAAGTTTTGGCAAAGCCTGCAAGGCTGAAGAATTTTCCAGAATCTGAGGAACAAATCAAATCAGACTTTGCATATCCTAGAGACTGTACTGTAAATTCCTTTCGCTTTCACTTTTTTTCTTTCACATTGAGTAACCACAGGCCTTCATGCCAAACTTTAATGGGCCATTGGCCTCCATTCAGTCTCTCTCTCTCAGTCTCATTACTCAGTTTCTCCTCCCCACATGTCCCCCTCATTCATACAGCTCCCACCCTTTTGCTTTCTATTTCCTGCTCTTTAGGGGTTTCCTGCTTCTCTTTGTGTGTTAGTGTTATTTATACCTTGTGTTTAGAAAGGGGCTTTTGTTTTCTGCAAGGAGATGCAGATGTTAAGGTTGATTCTGAGAAAATTAGATTGGTATGAGTTTAGTTCTTATTTAGAAATATAGATGAATCATCTTAAATGTTTTTGCAGTATTTTAGATTATGTAAATTCTTTTACAAATTAAAACATCATACTACTTTAATAGGTAGAAGTCTGATCAAGCTTCTAGATGTTGCATGACATAAAAGTACAGTTAATAACATATTTAGATACTATGCATACAATAGGGTTTTAATATGTATTTTTTCATCTCATTCCAGCCAGTTGGCAGAGCTTTTGCTTTGGTACAACCGACTTATGAGCGGCAGCCATTGAAGTCTGATCTGATCAAGCAGCCTGAGGACCAGGGTGAGGTAATCAAGGTGGGTCTGTCTTTAACTCTGATTGATAGATCAGTTACATCTGGAAGTTTGAGCTTTAATTTAAAATAATAATGAGGTCTGATTCTGAGTAACTGAATTTGTTATTCTACCTAAACTAGGCTAGGCACTAGACTAATTCATAAAATTATTATACATTTAATTCAGGCATAATTCATGTTAAAATTAGTGATGTCAATGCTTATGTGCTTATGTTTTTTAAATCTTTGGGTTTGCTTGTCAGGTATATCTAGAAGACCGCAAAGAGGCGCAAGCCAGACACCAACAGAGTCTAAAAATGCTCTCAGAGGAAGTTTCACAAATACAGGAGGTCAGAGCAAAAATCCTCGGTATCATTTCCCACTCTTCTATGTTTGGATGTTTTCAGAACATGTGCATTAATAGTGTTGTACTGTGTGCAGGTGAGATATTGTCTAAAAAACCTCAGAGAGCAGATGGCAGCTAAAAGTCACAGGACTGAACATAAGGTGAGACAAAACAACACATCAATCTGCATATATACTTCTTTTAAGCTATATTAATCATAAAATGTTAACTAACTCTCCTTTTCTCACCCTCAGCTGGTGTTATCTGGTCCAAGAAAAGTTAATGGCACTCATTCAGCACTAACACAGGCCCTAAATGGTTTAGAGAGACAGGTGAGCCATTGATGTGCACTGTTGCTTTTCGCGCGCACACACACACACACACACACACACACACACACACAAACATGCAGGTTATCAGTCAAACACTAATAATTAAATAAACTAATAATTTTTGGAACTGTTAAATTTAATCTTTAGCAAATATCTAAATAAACATTTTTCATCTTTATAGTGATGCCTAAATTAATTATTTGCATTTAAAATGATTGATTTTAGCATTTAGTGTTTTGTTTTTCATTTATTTAGACAAAATAGTGTACTAAATTCCCCTATCTCTATCTTTATATTACCTTTTCTGTCATCAAAAACTAAAAAAACTTAACAATTTTGTGTATCACTAATTTTAATACCAACAAAAATATTTTCTATTCCCTTAAACCCAAACCTAACCCTCACAAAAAAACTGCTGATATTATTAGATTTAAAGTAAAACATCATTTATGAGCCATTCAAATAGTGAAGAGCACTTCAGATGTTCTACTAACGTCTAATTGAAATGACCAGCATGCTTCAATGCAGTCACCATTATATAATGTGCTGTGTAAAAAAATCTGTATCCTTTGGGTGTTAATTGTTTTTTTATCACTTAGGTAATTGCTTATTCACACCTACATTACGAATCTCAACAATCTGTTAGCACACAACACATAAACAAACCCGCAGTGATCAACACCCATTAGTATTTACAGTATGTCATCCAGCAGATAGTGAGGAATTAATCACCCAGGAAACCACACAAAAACGCACAGCTCAGGAAACACGTTAAGCCACCTGCAATAATTATCCGTGGTTCTTTATAATCAACAGTATTTGTTCAACAGGTTTTAATGTTTCTCACATTCTTCAAATTCTTATCTTTTGTTGTTCGGTGAAACCAAATGCGGCGGCAGCATATTTATTTTTTCGAATTGAATAGTGCGGATTAGCCTCCCAACGGGATGTGTGCATCTGGATAGTTTGAGCAGGAGAACGAGTGGAAAAGCTGAGCTATGACAGCGTACGTCAGTATTGTACTGTCAGAACACACACCCTGTTGACGCACGTACAGAGAAGGTCCCTCCCACTTTCTGTCAAACTTACATTGTCCTCTGGCTCTCACACACGTCTATAAATAACTGCTGGGAGAGATGTGGGCGTGTTTCAATGGACGCAATTTGTAAGGACATATGTTTTGTTTGTGTGACTGTGGGATAGTGACTTGGTTTATAATTGAGTACGGTTTGCTCTTATTTTTTATTGCTTAAACCACTATGTTGCATAACTAATTCAAGACACATGTAAGAAGTACATGAACACACATACAAATTTGACAGTAACCAAACAAATTCCAGATTATTTTCATGAATGTTTTGTATTCTCTCTCAGGATAGTGTGGATGAGCAAGAAAAAGAGAAGATGAGGGAGGCCAGTAAGCGTCTGTATGCTCAACTCCAAGAGGCCGAGAAGAAACACCAGGAGGAGAGAGAAAAACTGCTGGTTAGTCACTTAGCATGCTCTTTTTGCTAACTGTTTCTTTCTCAACATGCAAGGATCCTGCTGAGAGCATTCAAAGGAACCTTTGTTAGATGGTCTTGATAGGTGAGTTGTACTAATGCAGTGGCAGATAATCCTGATGGCCAACTGGGTCAGATCCAGGTTGGGAAAGAACAGTGTGTGGGTGAGATCTCCGGTGAGATCGCACATTCTTTCATGATGATGTGCAGTTTCGTAATCGGCTACTGCTTGCATCTTATACGTCAAGGATTTCAGTGTTAAGCAAACAGCTGATGTCAAAATGATACAGTAAAAAATTAAACAGCTTGAAACTTTGAATCATTTTCAACTTCCTGAAACTCTCTGTTGTACAAATGTACAGTAGGTGTCTCGACAAGTTGTTTTAAATTAAATGCATTTATGCCGATAGGGTGATGCTAACCACATAAATAAATAAATAAATCTTCAATTTTTAATAAAAAATATTTAGAAATATAGACTTTATTTGACAATTAGGACATTTTTTTCTAACATTAAATAAGACATGAGTAATTGTAAATATATAAGGACATATATTTAATAATAAATGTACAATTTTAGCGATTAGAGTTTTTTAAGCCGTGACTTATGGACATTGGATAATTTTCCTGAGATAAAAGTTAAGTGGCAAATTGTTTACAAGGTGTTTTTATTGGAGCCTTCCCATAACAAGTATGAGATTGTTTATCCGAGCCAGTGGTCAAATTTTCAACGGTCAAAGTTTAGGGCTCATTGTACAAAAAATAGTTGACCACAGAATCCTGCGACTGATTTACCAGTCAGAATCGAATATTGCAGAAAGCTGTGTAATAGTTAAACATAAATGTGTCTTTTGTGCCTCATGATTTAATTCTTTTTCTCTGTTCGTGTTGTCGTAGGCAGAGGCACAGCAGTATAAGCAGCAATTATCTGAGCAGAGCGAGTATCTGAAGAGTGTTCAGCAGAGCAAAGAGCAGCAGGATCAGCAGATCGAAGACCTGAGACGTCTCATGGGTGGCATGGAGCAGGAGAGCTCCACCCTCAGAGACCAACTCATGACCAGAGAAGCCGAACTCCTGCAGCTGCGCGAACTGAGGGAGGAGGGCCATGCAGGGAGGGAGAGGTAGGGGGCAAGATAAATCTTACTGATTTTGTCACATTATGTTGCCTTTTTTAACTTTATGCATCATTTGGGTGTTGCTGTAAACATGTTGCTTAATTATGTAACAGGTTAGAAGAGGTGGAAAAGGAAAACGCAATTCTGAAAGAGAAGATTCATCACTTGGATGACATGCTCAAGAGTCAACAGAGAAAACTACGGCAAATGATTGAACAGGTACATGTCCATGCACACAAACGCTGACTCTCATACAAACTTTTGCCATGGTAACACTTGCTAACTCAAGCTTTCCATCCTTGTGTCGTCTAGCTTCAGAACTCGCGAATGGTGATTCAGGAGAGAGACAGAGTGATCAGAGAGCTGGAGGAAAAGGTGGCTATGCTGGAGGCAGAGGTCAGTCCACAGGATATAAACAAACATCTAGTGGGGATTCACGATTCTCAATGATTTCGGTTCTAGTTCAGATTTCTCTGAATGATTATGTTCCTTAATGGGTCCAACCAGAGAAGCCGAACTCCTGCAGCTGCGCGAACTGAGGGAGGAGGGCCATGCAGGGAGGGAGAGGTAGGGGGCAAGATAAATCTTACTGATTTTGTCACATTATGTTGCCTTTTTTAACTTTATGCATCATTTGGGTGTTGCTGTAAACATGTTGCTTAATTATGTAACAGGTTAGAAGAGGTGGAAAAGGAAAACGCAATTCTGAAAGAGAAGATTCATCACTTGGATGACATGCTCAAGAGTCAACAGAGAAAACTACGGCAAATGATTGAACAGGTACATGTCCATGCACACAAACGCTGACTCTCATACAAACTTTTGTCATGGTAACACTTGCTAACTCAAGCTTTCCATCCTTGTGTCGTCTAGCTTCAGAACTCGCGAATGGTGATTCAGGAGAGAGACCGAGTGATCAGAGAGCTGGAGGAAAAGGTGGCCATGCTGGAGGCAGAGGTCAGTCCACAGGATATAAACAAACATCTAGTGGGGATTCACGATTCTCAATGATTTTGGTTCTAGTTCAGACTTCTCTGAATGATTATGTTCCTTAATGGGTCCATAAATGATTATTTTACTGCAGTAATTTATTTTAGAAATAATAAACACATTTAAAAGAATTATTGCAAAAGGTGTGGCTTTTCACAGTTCAAACTGATAATTTTCTCTTAACTACACTGAAAAAACTTTGATGTAAGAGAGACTGACTCTTTAGAGTCATTTATTCAGGAATTGGACTACAGTGGTTGTGCTGCATGTTTTTGATTCACTAAAAGGAACCAACTAATTAGCGTCATTGAGTTTTGATATTTTAAAGCATGGAACCAATTCTAAAAAAGAATCAGTTCTTGGTTTCTAACCTTAGTTATAATTATTTTCTATATCATGTTATCATAATTTCATGAATTACTGCTGAAAACGCACACAGATGTTTATTTTTAAATAAAATTCCTTTTACTACATACAAAAGCGATTAGTGTGAGATCACTGTGATCTCATGAATGTTTCCTGACGTCTGACCTTTGTGAATGTGCTTTGCTTACAGAACAAACAAATGCATGATCAGATGGATTACTACCTTGGGAGTCAAAGGTCAAACTCATACCTGCCATCAGACGGCAATGCGCAGATTGTCTACAGGTAGGAAATGCAAATGATCCCGATAGCTACACGCACATTTTTTATGCAAATGGTCGCATATGCTTGATAACGGACATACAAGCACACACATTCAAATTCATGTGTCTTCTCCACAGCAAACCTCTGAGACCATCCACCCAGACCAACAAGAGCCTGCCCTTCATCAAGGTCATTGAAATTAAATCATGAACCTTACCACAACAACATCCTGTGACAGCCGCACCATCCTCCCTAACACAGTGAAGGAGAATACTAGCAACATCACAGACCTTCACCAAATGACAATGCGATTGCTTTAATGTCGGAAGGCCTTTTCTGCAAGAATACTTCTAACAGCGCAGAGGTCTGTTACTGGTATTGCCATTATTACATACTCTGAGTTATCGAGATAGATTTGACAGAACAGGGACTGTTAAAGTGAACATATCCATTTATATGAAGACAAATGAAGAAAACAAATGAAGAACTCATCTTTTCATTATTGTGAGATTTGTGAAGGGCTTCTAGATGGATTCTGGTGTATTTTGGTATTTATTTGAGGCTGGTCCTCTGAAGACTGTCTTTCACCCAACGTTAATAGGCAGACTGTGATGCTAAACACCCTCATTGAGCTCTCGTTATCTCTCGTAATCTCCTTTGGTATTAGCTCGGCTAAACTTTAGTGGGTCTGTGAGTTCGCTGAAATCACAGGTGAAAATCTGTTAAAATTATAGAGACAATGGATGGGAAGAACATTTTTATTTAATTTTAAAATGACACAAGTTTGTGAATTAAAGGATGAAGGATTTTTGTGTCTTAATTGTATCTATTTGTATCCAAATTAAGGCAGGAGATTGAGATGAGATTTTTGCAATCATTCAGCCCCCATTTCACAGTGAGTCGTTCATCCTGAAACAAAAAACTGCAACAAATATTTATTCTTGATTTAAATGCTTTTCTCAACCAAAGGGATACAGCAGGGAGAATCCAATGACTCACCTTCTATGAAAAACAAAGACGCCTTGTGAGTGTTTCATAAGTTTGAAAGAATGTAACACTTGTCCTCCACTGAGCCAGACCAGTTCAGGCCAGTAGGGCACAGCGTGAGCTCTGTTATCCAGTCCAGCCACTGCAGTACAATCTACAGTTACTCAGTTAGCCATTTCCAACATTCAGTAAACTGGTTTTATAACACCTAGTTAGAGAAGTGATGTGATTGGCCAGAGCACCTGCCCACCTCAAAGTAATGTCATGTGAACTGTTAATAATACCACAACAGAGATTATTTATACTGCATTAATTTAATTCTGCATTTCATAACCATGTTTATCCACCTTCACATTTGAAGATAGTGTGTATATTTTCTCTTTGTGTGAACTTGAACCTTATGTGAATTTCTTAGACAGGCTTCATATTAGCATGTAACACCCTTTATTATTTTTTTAATAATAATATTTTTGTAGTAAAAACGAGTGGTTTGCAATGCTTGAATTAATGACATCTTGTATATTATATTTAAATAAATTAGTTTCATGAATGTTGTTGTTGTCTTGCCTTTTCTGTGTCTGCAAAGGAATGTGGTTTATGGTTGAAATATATCAAATATAATATATATATATATGAAATATAAAAATGAAATATATATCCTATCAAAGTTTTATGATATGGAGAGGTACCATGGAATCTGACCTCCGGTGTAAACACAACAGGGTGTTATTTTATTCCCCTCACATTACTTGCCCCCGTATTTCATCTTCAAGTTGATTGAGGGTGACAATTGCCTTTAATGCAATTATGCATTTAATTAATCAAAAGTGATAGTAAATACATTTAAAACATTACAAACTATTAAAATGGTATGTTCTATTTCACATAAATGCTGTTCTTTTGAACTTTGTATTTATCAAAGAATTCTGGGGGGAAAAAATTCATATATGACGCAGTTTTAAAATTTGATAATATGAAATGTTTGAGCACCATATCAGCATGTTAGAATGATTTCTGAAGAATTGTGCGACACTAAAGACTGGAGTAATAACTGTTGAAAAGTCAGCTTTGCATCACAGGAATAAATTACATTTGTGACCCTGGACCACAAAACCAGTCTTAAGTCGCTGGGGTATATTTGTAGCAATCGCTAAAAATACATTGTATGGGTCAAAATTATTTATTTTTCTTTTATGCCAAAAATCATTAGGATATTAAAGATCATGTTCCATGAAGATATTTTGTAAATTTCCTATTGTAAATATATTAAAACTTAAATTTTCATTAGTAATATGCATTGCTATGCATTTGTACATTTTTAAAAAGGCGATTTTCTCAATATTTATATTTTTTTGCACCCTCAGATTCCAGATTTTAAATAAATAAATTCAGCGTTGGTGAGCCTAATTGAGATCCTCAGAAGCACTTGATAATTCCAGAGGTTTGCTGGAGCAGGGTTAGACCTGAATGGAATTGAACAGGTAGTTAGATCTCCGGCAACAGAGCTGGATCGGGGCAGCCCTGGATTGCATACCCAACCAGTGACGTCTTGTTAGTGAAGACCCCCACTGGCCGAGAGGTGCAGGTACAGATGACGCAGACACTTCATCAGATCTGATAAGACTTTAGAATACAGTGAAAGTCAATATACAGTCTCTTATAGCTGTCTACCACATTACCATGACAACCATATCAATTCATGCCTCAAACCACAATCTTCCTCATATACACATATTTACATGAACTAATTCACAAATTAAAATTGCACTTAAAAAAGAAATAAGGGCAATCATCTAATGATCAACAGCACATAAATAAATACCTCTCCCAAATTCTATTATTCTATTCTCATGGATGTGGCACAGGATCTTATTTGGAAACCTCAAGTTGAAGTAGTCTTAGTATAAAACTGGTGTAAGGGTAAGGGATAGTTCACCCAAAAATAAACCAAACAGTTGACAGTAGCCATTAACTTCCATAGAATTTTTTTTCCATACTATGGAAGTCACTGGCTACCATCAACTGTATTGTTACCAACATTCAAAATATCTTCTTTTGTTTGGAACAAGTGAAGGGTGCTTAATAAATGACGGAATTTTCATTTTTGGGTGACCTATCCTTTTAATGTCCATTCAGCTGATTTTAATCCACGTGTTTTTGCCAGAAAAGTCAATCCAGTTAAAATATTATCATCTCAGCTAAAGGGTGCTTTGTTGGTGCTCTTTGGACAATAAAGATATAAACATTACACTCCCTATTCACATTAAAAGGCCATTCTCGCGAATAAAAGCTGGTAAACAGTGGCTTTTAACCATCAGAAAAACATTAAAACTACAAACATAACATTCTTGCATTGCTCTCAAAGAAGTTGCATTGACATTTATCCCACAGATTTTGTCATATATTAAGTCATTCTCACATTCTCGATGTGATTTGAGGCCATTTTACTGCATCTCCCACCGTTTTCATTTCTACATAAAGGATTTTCCAGTGAGCAATGAACACTTCTGAATCACAGTCTTTGAGGTGTATTTACACAGTTCTTCAAACAGGTTTCATTCTCTAAAGTGTGCTTTCTAGCGTATTATAGTTGTCTTTAAAGTTTTTGAGCTCCAGGAAGTGTTTGGGCCTCTTGCTGCGCTGTCCAGTAGACGGCAGGTACGTGACCTGAATGGTAGAGGCAGACGAAGGGCCGGGAGAGCTGGTCAGATCTTTAGCTGCTGACTGGTGCTGCTGGTTTAGACTGGTGGTGCTGGAGTGGGTCTTTACACTGTGGAGAAATGAGGAAGAATGGAGTGAGAAGAGTGATAATTTGAGAGATAAACTGCAAAAATTGGACAGCAGCACTTACAGAGCAGCCAGTTCAGCCAGATCATCCTTATACTTCACAAACTCTGCCTCACCAAACACCTACAGGAAAGAAAACACGAGCCTCTTATATATGTCCTGCAGCGCCTCCTGCTGTACATTAGCATTTAACACACATCTGCACTCTCGGACTGACCCCTGTCCCATGGCGAGCGTTGTCGTAGCCCTCCAGTAAGCGATCTATTAGTGAACTGTGATTTGACTTGAACAGAGAGTGAGAGTTTCGCAGGTCCTGCAGCCAGTTCCTGTAGCGGCGGCCGGTCAGAGCGCTGGCACTGCAACACAACTCACGAGACGGGATATCTACAGGTGGGACAAAGCCAGATCACATCAGATCAGGCTAAACCTGAGTGCATATACAGTTTTCCATTTCAAACGTTCGAACAGGTGAAACATAATAATATAAATATAAAATGTAATATATTTTGTGTAACACTACATATTCATAAGTTAACGTTAAATATGTTTATATATATATATATATATATATATATATATATATATACATATATATATAAAAAGATTTGACTAAATTATTATAAATATAATGTACACTACTATTCAAACATTTTGAAAGCATCACAACTGTTTTCAGCACAGATAATAAGAAATGTGTCTTGAGCAGCAAATCAGCATATTAAAATGATTTCTGAAGGATCATGTGACACTGAAGACTACAGTAATAATGGCTGCTGCTGAAAATTCAGCTTTGCCATAAGAATAAATTATATTTTTAAATATATTAAAACAGAAAAGATTTACTTTAAACTGTATTAATATTTCAAAATATTACTGTTTTTACTCTATTTTTGAACTAAATGCAGCCTTGCTGAGCATAAAAGACTTCTTGTAGTGAAATGTATGTCTGTACTATAAACGTTTTTTTTTTTTAACTATTTTGTTAACTGAAAAGAAAAAATCAACTAAAATGTATTTTAATGACTCGAAAACTGAATGAAACCAAATAAAAATGGTCAAAAAATGAATTTTAGTTTTTGATAACACAGCATATTATAAATCTTGAAAGTTAAGCATTAGAATGCACGCAGGCAGAAGAAGGTCTCACCGGAGTCTCTGATAGCATCTAACGCTTGCATTCTGAAGAGATAATTATAACAACCTGCACAAACACAAACACAAATCCAGGCGTAAGTGTTCACATCTGCAATAGTGTTACGCAGAGAACTGCTACGGCCTTCTCACCATTCTGGCCTTGATGCTTCAGTCGATCATCATCTTTAGAGAGTAGATGTGGCTCATAACGAATGTCGTTCACTTTTGACAAACGGGAATCGATCTCCTCTCTCAGCTCCTGTGAAAGATGCAGCCTTGCTTCAGTGCATTACAAACTATAGTTATATGCAACAAAAAAGCATCATAAAGGTAATATAAACGAAAGAGAGGCCAGTTTTATTGTTAATTCAATGCAAATTAGATGCATATATTGGACTCTGCACAAAGGTAAAGCCTGAAATGCATCATAACGACTGAAAATGATTTTATGCCTAAACAATAATTAAGTAGGAAATAAAAAACAAATAAAACAAAGCATAAGACATGGAAACGTTAATGTACTTTCCCCGCCCCCCCCAAATAACTTCGTTGCTGTTGCTACAATAAACAGGACTGTGGCAAGTAAGTTCTCAGAGGAATGTATAAAATCAAATGTCATCTACAAAGACACAAACGATATTTTGGATTTAAGAGGAGCTATTGATACCTTTGGTGCGTTGTGACCCAGCGGGACGTGCGGTCCTCTGCGAGATTTCATAGCGAAGCGCATAATCTGCCTTTTCACAAAGATGAACAACAGCACAAACACCTGCAGAATCAGATCATTCAACACATCACACGCTCAAATCCCGTTCTGACACTGCCTGCTTTATTTTAGCTGGTATTCTCAGCTGACAGAGGATCAAAAGTTAGTGAGCTGCCTATATATGCAGTATGTTTTAGGCATCATTGGTGCCATACAGGAAGCTTTCTGGCTAGACAAATTGTTTAAACTTATGAGACTGTTACGTGACTTTTGAACAAGTTTTTTTTATTCAACTTCACAAGGATAAAAGTGCCCCTAGTTGAAGAAACGCCCATAAATGTTCACCAATACCACTGTGTCTGTTGTTCCGAACCACAATGCTTTCTTGTCATCTTTTCCTCTGTGTTAGATTATAGCTCTCTATAGGCGCTCACAATCCACACACACTACTGTCAATGTATCCAAACATTATGCACATGGTTTTTCAACGTTCTAAACTTATGTTTCTGTGAAAATGAAGTGAGCTGTCTGAGGACATCTGACTTAGTGGACAGCTGACCTTTATCAGATCAACACACTGAACAATACACTGATTCTTTCAAAAGGAACAGAGGTGGGTGGCAGATGCGTGAAATGACAACAAGGAATGAAATTGTTTTCCCAGTAAGAAATACTGCAACAATCATGACTTTTTCTCAGGCTCTGGTAAAGAACGATGGAATAAACTACAAATTATAGCTCTATATAGTACAGACTGTGGTAGACAAATTAAGAAAAAAAACGGGTAGACAAGTGACAGCCACTCTGTCTTGTTAAAAATAAACCACACTAACCATCTGCATCCTGCATTTGTCAGATTTGTATGACAATCAATGCAAAGATACGTACTGATATCAGATGGCCAAGGCATTAACTTTTTAAAGCTGCAGGGAGGATGCAAAGCTATTCAGCAGTTAAGAAGGTAAATTCCTCCACTGTGACCGATTTCTTAAGCTGATTTGGCTAAACAGTTCATCAAGCAACAGACGATGCTAAAACATCTAATTATACTGTGTCCACAAGCAGGTCAACAATGTGGCTTATTTTGATTACTTAATCATTCCATACCATCTTTCATGTCAGTGTGTTGTCTGCATTTACTTGCAATCAAAAACAGTTGCTGTTACATTTCTGTCTCTCTGAAACCACAAACTTAACCAGCTTCCTCTGCTGTTGCCATCAGCAGTGTGCATGTGTCTGTGATGCAAGACAGACCGTTGAGTGATGATGGTTACTGCACATACACAACTGCTGTTAAGGTAATATACACACACACACACACCACATTTAATCACAGAATGCTTTGAATGCTTAGGATTTGTACTATTTCATTTGGTTTGCATTTGCATTAGGCTATATGTTTGAAGAATGTATTAATAGGTAATGTTTAATGGTTAATTAATCTTTTTCTTTAGTTATTTTGGTTAAATGTGGTACATTTATATCAAAGTGTGAAATCAATAAATGTTTATTGACCCTAAGTAACAACAATAATAATAATTCATTGTATTATGTAATGTGCATGCAAAAGCCAGATATATTCATATAATATAAAACAGCACCATTAAACAGTAATTTGTTTAGTCTGAGTCTCTTCATTCACATATTTTAGAGCCTGCAAAAGGTTTGGCTGTCAAGTTTCACATACATTTCAAACTTAACTCCTGCCCATCTGCTCTCTCTCAGCCTCTGAGCAGCTCCTTTTGCTGCACTCTTCATTTGCTCTTGCAGCTGCAGGAAGTTGAGCAACTCAGCCCACAAGTGTGCCACAGAAATTCACCCAGGTAACCAATTGTCAAAATGTTTTGTTTCCATTACAATGCATATAGTATTATTATTATGTTTAATGAATTTTTACCACTTTTAAGGTTGTGTACATTCAGGTTTGCTGTGTATTGGGGCCTCCATCTACAGGCTTTTGTATTTTTAATTAATGTAAATGATGCTTGAGGATGGCTAACAGGTTAAAAAGGCTCATGCAGTAGCAGTTTGCAAACATGTCCTTGGCATTTCTGGGTCATGGTTTGCAAGATCCTAAAAGTATGCAGTCTATTATGCCACTGGTGTTTCTGGTTTCAGTTGAAACATTGGTCAATGCCAGTCTATTCAACATTTTTAATCTTCCTTTTCAAACACATGCATTATCTTGCATACTATTTATTTTTAAAATACTGTATAATAAGCTAGTCTTTGTCATTGTTCCTTGTTTTAGCACTGTGTTTGGTGCTTGACGCTGTATGTCGTCAATATTTGCCAACATCTGGCACACATCTTTATACTATATACTGTATGTTTATAATCTCACATTTAGTCATATAGCGTTTTAAGTAAGTGCTGCAAGTATATATTTGATTTCTGAAAATCAAATGGTCTGTTATTAACGTAGGTCTTTAAAAAAATTGGATAACTGCTCCTCACTACGACCACAGTATAACAGGTCACTCATTTAATGCTGTTTTACTGTAAGGAACTGAGCAAGCAAATATGTACAGAGGAAATGAATGAGCAAAGGTGGAGGGAAGAAGAAAGATGGAGCAGATAAAATAAAAGCGAACTGCTCGGATAAACATATTTATTAGCATTAGCATAATGAAACTCAAAGACATCACTAATGTCAAGACTGAAGGGTGTGTTCTCTGAAAATAAATGAGTTTTAATGCGTGTATCTGGTACTATTTGTAACATCATAGTAGTAGTTAATTGTCAAAATGGTGCAGAAACTTCATTTGAGTATATTAAACATAACTGGAGAGTTTATCACGCTTCATCAAAGGAAGATGTTTTATTGTAGCCCTTTGTTGATTTAATATCATTTCAGTTTTAGTGTAGTTTATTATGTTGGCAATCTGATTTATTCAAATTTGTTTAGATTCTGTTACTATTAGCTATGGACTTTTTTTCAGATAATTAGGGGTACTGAATCAGAAATGAATAAATACACATTGCATGTATACATGAACTATAACTATCTAGGCCTGTTAGTCCAACTTCACAAAAAACAGACATTTACAATTTCAGTTTAACTAAAGCATTTAAATTTTAATCCTGAAACTGAAATTTTAAAGTCTTCAAATATCTGAATCATGTTCAGAGGTCTTATAACTCTAGGACCAGATGCCTGTCACAAGCATTTACCTACTCTACCCTTTAACCCTTCCTGAGTCACCAAGAAACCACGGACCAGGAATGTTCTCATTAGACACGAAGGGTGTGCATGCTGACAGGTGTGTATGTGTGTAAGAGAGACAAAGAAACTGAGACACAAATAGATGGAAGGAGAAAAAGAGAGAGGCAGACAGAAAGAGACGGGGGAGGAGAGAAAGAGGTAGGGAAATGAGAGAGGAAGGCACAATAATCAAAGGGGGTGGAAAAGGGTAAGCATGTCAAACCAGTCAGGCAAGTTCTTATTACAGTAGAAATGCATCATTGAAAATTGAAAGACAGCAAGAAGTGAGAGAGAGTTTAGAGGCACAAGTCAGGATGGGGAACACCTTTTCTCTCAAACAGCTAAGAGACACAGCAGTCCTCTAAGGTACGTTACTTCTGTTTGAAGAGCTAAAACTCATGTATGGTTAGATTATGTGGCAGGTAAAGTGTATGGCCATTGTTGTTCAAGTGCGAGTGCCATGGGAGAACAGGTGTTTCTGTAAACTGACACTGACCTGTTTTCCTTGGAAAGTCTGAAATGTTGCAGTCATATGGGACTGGTAATCCTATTTTGCATCCATATCTGTGAAATACAAGGCAGTAGTACAAGGCCATTTGTGGTTATGAGCAACCTTATAACAACCTATATTTACTGTGTCAATGTATCCTTTATTTGTTTTCAATCAGTTCAGATTTATTTTCATCAGGTCTGTATTTGCGCTCCTGGAAGGTGTACTTCACACCTCCTCCTCCTCCCACTCTATCTCTGCTTGCTGTTTACTCATGTCTTTTATTTTAAACATAGCTCTTGACGTATAATGTTCAGTTTAAGATAATAAAAAAAAAAGCAGTCCTTGCAACAAAATAAGGTGGGGCAAACAAATCTGGAAAAAAAGCATTACAAAAACCTGATTTAAAAAAGTTCGAATTTAAGCTGTTGATTCAATATTGCCTAAAGATTGTTTTAATGGATTGGTATGCAGATGTGTACATCGGTGCTTGCTTGATTGCACGTGACTATTATCAATGTTACTGAAGTGTCTGAATGAAATTCAATGTGCTGCTTTGAATAATTGTGGGTGTGTAAGTGAGATAGGGTGCAGAGTTCCTGCTAGGCTATTTGACATTATTCACAGATTTGAGATACAGTAATCCTATATATATATATATATATATACAGTATATATAATATTTTGTTTATTCACCCTTAGAATGAATCTTACCTTTAACGATGTGTGGACTCTGACTCTGTAACACATGTGGTGTTAGATAGGATTGTAGTCTGGTGTGTTTGACCTGTTATCTGACTGCGTATCAGGTTCTGTAAAATAGCTCAAGAGTGTGACAAGTAGCATCAAGAATGCTGTCAGAGTGGACATACAATGAAATGCATGCATATACACACTGTCTCTCTGATTTTTAAACATTGGCAAGCTGTTTCTGATTTACAGCCGTTTGTCCAGAGTTTGTAGATGTTTACATATCAGGGTATGGATGCCATATGCCCGGCAGAGATTTATGGACTCCCACTGTAATAAATACAGAGTTTCAGTATGATGAAATCCTGAGGTACTAGAATGAAGCATGCACACTTTGTTAAGTGGGAGATGGTATAGCTTAGTGATTAAAGGTCTGGGCCAGGCTGTAAGTTCAGGCCATAGTAGCAGGGTTATGATCCATTCACAATTAAAATGAGAATACCTTCACATTCCAATTCAAATGAACTTTAATTTATGTAGCAAACAGGAGGCAATTTGAATCTAATAAACTTAATTTGCTTAAAGCTAACCTTCACATGTTGTTATTGCCTTAACATGACAGAACAAGATAAGGACCAGAGAGTACTGAGACCTATTACTAGCTCTTTTTGGATCCAGAGAGCGTGAAACACCTGTCAGAAGAGCAACAGAGTCAAGCTGAAGTTAGCGGGTCTCCTTCACCTCCCTGGATTACAAACAGATTTATTCCAGCTTTTATAATGATGGTTGGAAAATATAGCCCGCCATTACAAGCAAAAAGACAAACATTTTTGAACAAGATGCTGAAAATGTTAGCAACCAGCCTTCAATTCCTACTGTAATGAATACACTGTGTGACATTCAGCGTCATTTAAAAGCATGAATTTGCATACTGGAACTTTTGTACGTCCGTTTCCTGAAACAGACGCAGCTAGCAGCACAACTGAAGATGCAGATGCACTTGGAACAGCAGCACAAAGTCATAGTCAGTTATCTGCGATGCCTTTTGGCTCTGCAGCTGCTAGATTCAAAATACGCTCTGCCAAAACACTTACTACCAAGGACCTCAGGACGAAAAGCTTTTTTTTTGAGGGTGGAAAAGTTGAAGATTTAAGCCAGAAAAGTGATCCTAGTAAGGACCTCAACAAAGCTTGTACTTCTTCAGCTAGTGATACCCACACTAACACTGATGGCAAAGAGACAGGTAACACTTTAAGTAAGGATACAAGCAAGGACTCAACTCTTCCCATCAGTTCTGAGAAGGGTGATGTGAGCGCTAAGAAGTTAAACACTCAAGAAGACAAGAGTAAGGCAGCAAGTGACAGGAGCAAAGGAGATGTATTGAGGAGATCTTATCAGTCAAACAAAAGCAAAAGCTTAGACTGGAGAGCAGGACATGGGAATAGAATTTGGATGACTAGTGGGACTAGAGACCTTGAAAATTTTATGAGGCGATCCGATTTAGAGAGAACCGGGATAAACAACAAGATAACTTCATACACGCAAGAGAATCAACCCAGTAGTGTTTCACGAAGGAGTCAGAATTACAATGCAGCCAATCAAGACAATCAGAACAGTGACAGAAAGGATTGCTCTGGATCTCCATCTGTGAGAATGAACCAAGTAAATTTTGCTCTTGAACAGGCAAACAGTGGTCAGTCACTCCCATCCAGATTGAAGCCAAGACTTAGCCAAGGTTCCATTGGAGAAGGTAGCAGTCTCTGGGCACAGCAACAAGGTGAATCAAGTCTTGATCAGACAGAAAACAGAATGGGATCCTGGGCCAGAGAGCAAGGATCTTCCAATGCAGAGGAAATAACTGGAAATCAAACAATAATGGAAAGAATTGCAAAACTGTTTGGAGTAGATGCCAACTCTGATGCACACTCAAAAGATTCAATCAGAGTAAAACGCAGCAATACTGTAAATTCTGATGAATCCTTTCCCAAATCAATGGACACGGTGGACTGTACTCCAAGACACAGAAAATACACTACTGACTATGTGTTTGGAGCTTCTTTAGATTGTACTGACAGCCAACAGGAGAAACCTTCTTACAATATAGAAAAAGCTGGAACATTCCCTAGAGGGTTTTCAAAAACATACTTTGATCCAAAGCAAGAACCCTCTACCAACAGGGAGAACAGAAATGATCAAAGGGACAATTCCTCTGGACTAAGTTTTTCAGTGTCATCAAAGCCTAAATGGAGTACAGAAATGTCCTCTCTCAAAAAAGCTCAGTCACTTCTGCCTGATGACAATGAAGAGACAAGCAGAACGTGGTTTACAGGGTCTCCAAAGTATTGTAGTCAGTCCTTAGAAAGGACCAGGAGTAGACTGTCAGCAACTGCTCAATGCAATGCTCGCAGGAACCAGCCTGACAGTTCAAGCATCTCCGGCCAGGGTGTCAAACACATGTTAACCACTTCTGGAGGAATCAAGGAGGAAATTGGGGAAGACAAACACCCACTAGCCTCAAAAGGAGAAGCACACAATGAAATCCGTAAAGAGGAAGCGAAAGATCATGTCTTCATGGTTAAAACTGCAGGAAGGAGAGGAGATCGTGTTCTAGAAAAGTCGCGTTTACCATCCTCAGATTCTGTGAAGAATACAATCAGCATGTTTGAATCTTTGGCTCAACAAAGCAAAAGCACACCAGAGATTCTTCACACCAGGAGGACATTATCTGTACCAGAGCCCTCCAAGCCTGCAGCTCCATTGAAGAAGAGTGATTCGGAAACAAATCTACATTTTGGAAGGGTTGTGGGGAACACAGAAAGCCTAAGAACAAATATCTTTAGCAAAAGCGATTCTAATGAGGAGACTGAAGGAACTGTTGACCTAAGTAGAACTCCTCATTCAAATTCCACAGTCAAAGTAAGACCAACATTAGAACAACATCAAGAGACATACAAAAAGAGTCTTGAGCTTGCTCCAGCATTAAAACAAATAAATGAACCAAAAACTGACCAAGTTATCAGCGTGAGGGATGAAGATGAAAGGAGGACTGTGAATAAAAAACACATGGATGAACCAGATTCTACCATCAATGCTCACTCAGGGCTCAGAAACATAGGGGCAGTGGAAGAAAAAGCAAGAATCCCATCAATCTCTCAACAGTCAAATGTCAAAAGTTTACTAAAGCAAAAGTCAATTAATGTAAAAATAGTTGATGATGATGAAAACACACCAACTAACTCACCTGACAGAGCCCCTCTCATAGTTAACATTCAAAAGCAGAGTAGCCCTGGAGCCGTAACAGTCAACGGTAACCATCCCAAAGTGCTGCCCAATCATCCTCAAAGTTCTACTCATATCCAGACAATATATTCCTCACTCAATAACTCTAATAATAACAACTATGAAACAACAAGGAAGGATTTGACCCCAATGACTACTAGCATGGCTAGGTGGAGCTCTGATGAAGAAGACGATGATGAGGAAACAGACACTGAAGAAGACTCTGACTCAGGAGAGTCATCTGTGACCATCACAAGCAACATGAGCCAATCAGAACGCAAAAGTTTCTCTCTAAGGTAATTCATATGAAAAAAGTGGTATAATTGATTCAAATTGATATAAAAAAAGTTATTTAGATTCCGAAGAAGGAGAGTCCGCTTATTTCACATGCACAAACTACCAGGTTACCCAGTTTAAACACCTTGCCTTTTTTTTTTTTTTCCTATATCCACTTTACATAACCACTATTCTCTTTCTACATGTTAACCTATTAGTTTTGTGGAACTATGTGATTATGGTGGAGTGGACTATAAACCATCAGATGGATGTTTGTCAGAGGATGATGAAGTTTCGCCATACACACGCTCTGCGTCCTTGAGCTCAGACATCTCAGCCTTCTCTTCTGTGACTCTGCTGAGCACTGATGAACTGGATCGCTTAATAGATGATGTCAGGGGCTTGGGAGATGACACCCTGCAGGTACAACTTTTCCACGACATTCTAATTTATTGAGATGCACCTGTACATATATTTTTTAATGTCTAAAAGCCATAATTTGACAATGAAATACACTTAAATTTGTATGCCATTGAAATTTTGTTATAAAATAAATATACAAAGACAATTATAGATCGATATGTGCATGTTAATTAAAAAAAATACTATTTCCTTTTGCCATTATAACTTGTACGTCTGACTTATGACAGAAATATGAAGATGTGCAAGTGGTTGTGTTACACAAGGAAGTAGGGAGTGGCTTAGGATTTACCTTGGCAGGTGGAGTCGATCAGAATAAACCAGTCACAGTGAGTATCACTGAATGCTGTAATGCACAAACATGACTAATAGGAACAGATACAGATGGTCAAATGAGTCCATACAAAAAGCAGCAAATACATGAAAAAAGTCTCCGTTTATGTAGCTTTAAGTACACCACAAAATCCGTTCGTTTTTGGCTTTTTGAATGTTTGTTATTTGACTTTAACTTGAAAGGGGTGTTTCACTCAGATCTCATCTCTTAGGTCCACAGAGTAATACCAGGTGGTGTAGCAGCACAGGAAGGCTCTATCTTTGAGGGTGCTCAGGTGCTGTCAATCAATGGCACTGCCCTGCAGAACTCCGCCCACTGGGAGGCACTGCGTACATTGAGAAAAGTGAGAGGGCAGGGCATGGCGGTAGTTGTTCTTCAGAGCGGTAACAGCAGAAAGGAAGCCACTGAAAGACCAGGAATCACAGGTGAGTGATGGACAGGTGGCAAAGAGGTCGTGATCTGAAGGAAAACATTTTATTATACATATGCATGTGGTGGTCATAATGAATGTGAAAGCATCTGGAAATCAATCAACATTTAGGGAAGGTTTTAAGTTATTTGAAAATAATACTGATTAAGTTGCCTTACCTTGTATAAATGTGAGATAAAAATGTGTGAAGAAAGCGGTCTCTTTAGCAATCTGATCTTGATACTTTGTGTGTGCATGCCCCCTACAGGCAGCAGAGTCCGTGTGATTCTGAACAAGTCCAGCTCTGATCTTGGCTTTAGTCTGGAAGGAGGGGTGGGATCCAGCTCGGGAGACAAACCCCTCACTGTACAAAAAATATTCCGTGGTAAGACCCCTTTTTTTTAAAAAAAAAAAAAAAAAGCAATCCCACTCAACACAACTACGCAAGTAGTCTGTGAAATGAAACATTTTCATATGATACAACCAATTACACAAGTAAGGTCAAATGGCTGCTTACCTCACCTACTGGCATCCCTCCTCCACATTTCAGCACAAGAAGGCTATTTTTAGCTTGTGTTGAGTCTCATGCCAAGTCCCTCCATAACAATTAAGTCTACTTCTTGATTCCAGGTGGACCAGTCAATGAAGTGTTTCCTGGGGATGAGTTGTTGGAGGTGCAAGGTCAGAGTTTGGTGGGTATGATGCGTCTTGAGGCTTGGAGCCTCATAAAGAAACTGCCCCCTGGTCCTGTGGATGTCTTACTGCACCGTCCTCAGCAACCACGTTGAAGACCTCTACTTTCCTTCTTGCACCTCACTTCTCAAAGAAATTCAGTCATAATTTAAGCACTGTTTTTTCTATAAGGATTTTTGCTGTTACAGGTTCTGTGAAATTGTATTTTTGCAAATGTTCAGTTCTGCAATTAGAAAGTATCATTCACCATAGTGTTTTGAAGTGTTTTTTTTTTTCTCTCACTGATATTATATAACTATGAATTAATACTGCCAAAATGAAAAGCACTGGAGGCCAGGAGGTCATTTTTTCTATCACTTATTTTAAATAATGTTTAAGCTCTCACATTATTTAACTATTGATGTAATATTGTACTCTCAGTCTTTATCAGTAGCCATTACATATTTAAAAAAAAATAATTATGCTACTATGTATATGTTGTCTGTACAGCACAAATCCGTCCCAATTAAACTTTTTTCATAATAAAGACAAAGGAAGCAACTACATTTCTTTCATATGTGATATTTATGATAATATTTACATAATTTTTGTCTGATTTAATTTTTAAAATAACAACAGAAAATCCGCATGAAATCAAAATGTACAAAATTCAATTTGTTAGCGCCCATTGCTAGTCTTGAGGTGAACAATGTATCCGTGCAAGTTAAACCACTGAAAAAATAGTTTGTCTTGATAATCTTTAATCAAAATCTGAACATTTGCTTCTGCTTTGGAATGGCATTCCTTCTCTGATGGCTTGGGCAGAATATGCTTAACCACGCCCCTCCAACCAGTTAGTTTGCTGCAAGTGAGAGCTGAGAGGAGGAGCGCAAAAGTAAAACCCCGCCCTCTATTCAATATTCCGTTTCAATTGAAAGTACGTCACTATACTGAAATCAAGTCACGTGGTTCACGCGGTGATGAGGACACGCCTCCCCGCTCATAACGTGCATTTGAAAAGCAACACACGTCGAACATCTTCCCAATAAAATAGATAATTATAACTTGTTTTTACTCCACAACATCAGTCGAATGTTTTAAATAACTTCCTTTTGATGCGGCTTCTTATCACAGAAACAGGCATAAAAATATCTGGCTATGTCGATTAGCATAATGGATTATAAACATATTTTGAAAATACCCGAGATGGCTTGAAGAATAAAGATAACCTCCGGTTACGAGTATGAATTAAACAGATATTACACAACATGGCCAATCCATCCTATTTTGGGTAAAAATAGGAAAAATAATATTTCTCTAAAAATAAATTTTAAGTAGACATATGATAATCCACGTGTAGAAGTGTAGGTGTTGTGTTTTTTTTAATTACATTTTAAATTCCAAATCGCATAAAACACTCGATGTGCCAAGTGGAATTGAACCGAAACTGTTTAAAAAATCGAGGTATTCATTGAACATTGGGCTGTTGCATTCCTAATGTAATATAATGTAAATATTAAGTAACAATATTCTGTCTAATACGGATTGAATTCTGTCTAATAATCAGATAGAACTGTTAAACAAAGGATATGTGTGTGTATAGTTTTGCACTGTCTTGGCATTCATTGTCGACAGCAAAGTAAGAATTTCATGGTTCAGGGAAACTTGTTTTCCTCACTGGGCATATGACAATAAACGTTTTGAATCCTTGAATACGCATTTATATCATTTAAACAAATCTTTGAATGACTAATGAACATCTAATTTCAAAAACCCTGCAAACTTAGTCGGACCCAGCTGTGAGATCTTGTGAAGTGTGCATTTGCATCCTGCATGATCGCGTGTTCTCTGCAGTGACGGTCGATCCGTGCGAATTGAATGCTGACAGGAGGAGAGTTCAAGCCCCGTTCAGAGCGACATAATGGCGGTGTGAACGGGGCGCCCACCTTCTGTCGCCAACGGTCACTGTCGCTCGTGTCGCCGGAAGTCGCCAGCTCTCCATTGAAAATGAATAGGAGTATT